GGGCCGAGCCGGGCTGACGAAGCGCACCACTGACTTGGTGCGGGGAGCAGGAACAGACCGGACCGTACTGGGGACACACACCACTGGCCCTACACCGGGATCTGGAACGGGCCGGACCGGACTGGTAACACACCCCAGTACCTCTCGCCGTGCCTCTACACCTTCCATCCCCTCTTCGACCAGTGGCCCCCGTAACCTGGCGGCCTCCTCTGCCAACCCGCTGGACCGCTCTATCGCGGCCTCCTGCTGCCCCGACGTCGTGAGCCCCCCCCCCTAAAATTTTTCTGGGGGTCTCTCCTCCCCGTGGGCCAGGCCTCTATAGTTCTCGCCCAACTCTCGCTCTTCTGCCTCCAACTCCCGCTATTCAGCTCCTCAATTGGCTTGACCCAGTCGAGGCTCTTCCTCCATTGTTCCCAAGTCCACTCTCTCTGCTCTTCACTCGGCTTGACCCAGTCGAGGCTGCCACGGAGATCTGCTAGGGATTTCCCTGGCGATGGCTCCTCGACTCGCTGCTTGGTCCAGTTGTGGTGGGATTTTCTGTCACGATCGTCTAGAACAGATGAGGACCAAGGCGCAGCGTTGCAGGCAAACATACTCTTTATTACGAGACACGATCAAAACAACAAACGATACGTGACAGTTCACGGTCTACCATAAACAGACTAGAAACAAAATCCCACAAACACGAATGAAAAACAGACTGTTTAAATATGGCTCCCAATCAGAGACAACCAGCAACACCTAACACTCGTTGCCTCTGATTGGGAGCCATATTTAAACAGTCTGTTTTTCATTCGTGTTTGTGGGATTTTGGCCAACATAGAAATAGCACCCATAGAAACAAAACACATGATCTGCACACCCTGGCTCAACATAACAGTGTCCCCAGAGCCAGGGCGTGACAAACACCTACTCATTTTTTCGGTTTGCTTTATTTTTACTATTTTCTACATTGTAGAATAATAGTGAAGACGTGAAATAACATGTATGGAATCATGTAGTAACCAACAAAGTGTTAAACAAATCAAAATATATTTTATATTTGAGATTCTTCAAATAGCAACCCTTTGCCTTGATGACAGCTTTGCACACTCTTGGCATTATCTCAACCAGCTTCAATCTTGAAGGAGTTCCCACATATGCTGAGCACTTGTTTGATGCTTTTCCTTCACTCTGCCGTCCGACTCCTCCCAAACCATCTCAATTTGGTTGAGGTCGGGGGATTGTGGAGGCTAGGTCATCTGATGCAGCACTCCATCACTCTCCTTCTTGGTAAAATAGCCCTTACACAGCCTGGAGGTGTGTTGGGTCATTGTCCTGTTGAAAAACAAATAATAGTCCCACTAAGCCCAAACCAGATGGGATGGTGTATCGCTGCAGAATGCTGTGGTAGCCATGCTGGTTAAGTGTGCCTTGAATTCTAAATATATCACAGACAGTGTCACCAACAAAGCACCCCCACGCCATAACACCTGCTCCTCCATGCTTTACGGTGGGAAAAAACACATGCAGAGATCATCCGTTCACCCACACCGCGTCTCACAAAAACACGGCGGTTGGAACCAAAAATCTCCAATTTGGACTCCAGACCAAAGGACAAATTTCTACCGGTCTAATGTCCATTGCAATTTCTGAGGCTGGTAACTCTAATGAACGTATCCTCTGCAGCAGAGGTAACTCTGGGTCTTCCATTCCTGTGGTGGTCCACATGAGAGCCAGTTTCATCATAGCGCTTGATGGTTTTTCCGACTGCACATAAAGAAACGTTGAAAGTTCTTGAAATTGTCCGTATTGACTGACCTTCATTTCTTAAAGTAATGATGGATTGTCATTTCTCTTTGCTTATTTGAGCTGTTCTTGCCATAATATGGACTTGGTCTTTTACCAAATAGGGCTGTCTTCTGTTTACCCCCCCCCGTACCTTGTCACAACACAACCGATTGGCTCAAACGTATTAAGAAGGAAAGAAATTCCACAAATTAACTTTTAAGAAGTCACACCTGTTAATTGAAATGCATTCCAGGTGACTACCTCACGAAACTGGTTGAGAGAATGCCAAGAGTGTGCAAAGCTGTCATCAAAGCAAAGGGTGGCTATTATAAGAATCTCAAATATAAAATATATTTTGATTTGTTTAACACTTTTTTGGTTACTACATGATTCCATATGTGTAAAACTTTTGACTGGTAGTGTATGTTGTGCTTCCACAAGACTGTATAGCCTGCATGAAGCCCGGCCCCCTTATGAGCACAAGGGGCTCCTGCAATGGCTGACATGGTATCCTGTTTGGCATTAACCAAACGTGGGGAAACTGTTGTTACAGTAATGTTTTTGTGGAGGGGCACACTGGTCGCTCAGACCTGTGCTAAGGAAGTTATGCATGCTAGCCGGCGATAATCGTGAGGCTTTTTAGTCTAAGCTAGGCTAGCTAGCCTCTTTGACCACAGCATGGTCCGTTTAGAATAACTAAGTGACTTAACACTACGTATACTAAACAAGAGTGCTACCCCAGCAACTTCATCGCGGGGAGGCAGGAATAGCTAGTAGTGGCTAGCACGCTATGCAGAGCTTGTTTAGCTAGCCTCTCGAAAGTCTACGTTGGACCGGATCACCAAGGTGGGACCGGACCCTTTATCGAGAGGCATGTGGTGCTTGACCGAGGCAGACACAGGCTGCAGGGGGTACCCATTGAACCTGGCCGCCCTCTCTCTTCGAGTAGCCTCCTGTAACGAGCGACAGAGCACACAGGAGCCAGGTTGAGCGCAGGCTACCGCATACACACCGCCCAGGCAGACGAGACATTTGCTCCGACCAAAGATCCATCTCTGCAACTCAGACTCAGCCGAGGTACGGGTAGCCGGGAGAGGAAGGTCACTATCGGAAACACCAACCCCCTCAAGAATGCAACACGATTGTCAAGAGAACCTGTGCCATAGACTAGGACAGCAGTGCCAGCCGCGGGCAAGCCACTGTTACTGACACCGTCCCCCAGTCCCACACACAAACTGATTTGAACAAGGGCAACCAGAGCATGCACTGAGCCGAAACGTACAAGGCAACTGTCACGCCCTGGCTCGGGGGACTCTTAAATGTTGAGCCAGGGTGTGGAGTTTCTGTTACATTTTCTATGCTTTTGTTCTAGATCGTTTATATCTATGTTGGCCAGGGTGGTTCCCAATCAGAGACAGCTGTAGCTCGTTGTCTCTGATTGGGGGATCATACTTAGGCAGCCTGTTTGGCAACTAGTATTTTGTGGGATCTTGTTCCGGAAGGTTTGTGTTGACCAGGTTACGGGGGCTATTGGTCACGAGGGAGAAGGAGAGTGTAGAGGCACGGCGAGAGGAACTGGTTAGGCAGCAGAGGGAGCGGAGGTTTATGAGGAAACCCAGTCCCGCTCCTCGCACCAAGCAAGTGGTGTGTGTCACCAGTCCGGTCCGGCCTGTTCCTGCCCCCCGCACCAAGCCAGTGGTGCGCGTCGTCAGCCCGGTCCGGCCCGTTCCTGCTCCCCGCACCAAGCCAGTGGTGCGCGTCGCCAGCCCGGTCCGGCCCGTTCCTGCTCCCCGGACCAAGCCAGTGGTGCGCGTCGTCAGTCCGGCACGGTCCGTGCCTGTTCCACCGGTGCCTGGTCCGGCACCGGTCAGCTGCTCCACACCGGAGCCAGAGCAATCTGCTCCACCGGTGTCCAGTCCAGCTCCGGCCAGCGGGGCCAGACCAGACCAGGGGCGCTACGGGGGGGTAGAGAGAGAGTGGTGGTCACGCCCGGAGCCGGATCCGCCTCCGAGGCGTAACCTAGGACATCACGTATCGTTTCGTTTATTGTTTGGTTCGTGTTGTGTACACAAATAAAGAATGTACGCTTATCACGCTGCGCCTTGGTCCGCTTCATCTGTCAACGATCGTGACAGCAACAAACGTGAGGATCTTTTTATTCATTTGGGCATGGTCGCGAATCCAAGCCTGGCTTGTTAGCCTTTGTCGTTTCGGTCACGTTAGCCATCTGACTCATTGCTACAGCCAGGCCAAGCAATCCAAAGAATAACTAATTGGTTTGTGGTTAGGAAACTAGGAAAACAAATACAAACAAATACAAACATCTTCAGGTTATCTTTCTATAATTTTCTTTCTCTTTGAAAATGTGGAGTAGGTTGTGTAGATCTGAAGATTTAAAAAATATATATAATCCCTTTTTAAATTAAAATTTAAGGCAGAAAAATGTGAAGACTGTGCAACGGGTGTGTAGACTTTCACTAGGCACTGTATATCAAAAAGAATATGTAATTTGCTTGCATGGTTGCATATTAATGCCATATGATGATGTCACAGCAGTAGTTAGGTCTCCTGTGTTAAAGTACTGTAGTTCCATTGGAAGTCATAATGCATTAATGATGTAGCTAGTATATCTGTGTAAAGTGTTATCAGAAATGCAAAAATGGTCATAATGATGATAGCCCTATGTCGGGATGCAAAAGTGATGTCATAATAAATTCTGAACTTATATCAAAGTTAATCCCACTATGTAGTCATGAAAGATCTACTATGATGTCACAAAAAATGCTATGATGTCACAGTAATATCAACATTAATCTCATGTGTAGTCATGGAAATTATGATGCTATGATGTCACAGTATTATCAACATGAATCTCCTGTGTAGTCATGGGAATAATGCTACAATGATGTCACAGTAATGTATAATGTTAGTCTCCTGTGAAGTTGTTAAAATGGTGCTGCAATGGTGTCGTAGTAATACTAAAATGAATCCCCTGTTTAGTCATTGAAATTATGTCACAGAACCAAAGTTAATACTTTAGTCATTAAAACAGTACCCAAGTTAATAGTTTAGTTATTAAAATATGTTACAGAACCAAAGTTAATAGTTTAGTCATTAAATCCTGATATGATGTCACAGTGAAATGTGAATCATCCCTCTGTGTAGTCATTGAAATCCAGGTCGGTTCTAGGTTGGAAAAATGTGACTGATTGATTTGTTGATTGACTGACTGATTGGTACTCACTCTTGATTCCATCCAGGTCGGCAGACCCCAGCATCTGGGCCTCGCTGTCGTCGGTGGCCTGGCGCTGGTGATGCTCCTGCAGCCCGCACGTCATGTTGCCCGAGCGCCGGCGCTCCTGCAGGTCGTAGCTGCGGCTGCCACCAGGGGGCGGTACTCTGGAGGAGGGAGGTATGGAGCCCCATGTGGAGGGGCTGGGGGACTCCCGGGAGGGGCCGGAGGACAGGCCGTTCCTCCCTTTGTGAGGGGCCGACACCGAGTCCACTGGCTTACTGGTACCATGGCAATGACATGCAGACAGACATACATACAGACGGACAGACATGCAGACAGACAGATATACAGACAGAGGCTCTGTGTGAATTTGCATGAATGTTTGTGATTGTGTGTGCAGTATATGTGATTGTGTGTGTGTTGCTCACTCAGTAGGTGTGGCATCCTCTGGCAGGTTGGTGCCCAGAGCAGTCTCGGGTACGATGGTGAGGTGCCTGGGAAAGCTGGCACTGCCAGGCTGGCTTGGCGTGGGGGTAGTAGTGGCACTGGCACAGTCATCCTCAGACACAAAGAACTACAGACAGATTGGGGTCAATGAGGAAGAAGCCTACCTGTTAAAAAAGAAAGTAGCTGAGTGTGTGTGTGTGTGTGTGTCTTATAAATCAAATCAAACTTTATTTGTCACATTCGCCAAATACAACAGGTAACCTTACCGTGAAATGCTTACTTACAAGCCCTTAACCAACAATGCATTTCAAGAAAGAGTTTGTTGTCCTGGCACCACACTGCCAGGTCTCTGACCTCCTCCCTGTAGGCTCTCATCGTTGTCGGTGATCAGGCCTACCACTGTTGTGTCGTCAGCAAACATAATGATGCTGTTGGAGTCGTGTTTGGCCACGCAGTCGTAGGTGAACAGGGAGTACAGGAGGGGACTAAGCACGCACCCCTGAGCTGCACCCAGTGTAGAGGATCAGCGTGGCAGACGTGTTGTTGCCTACCCTTACCACCTGGGGGCGGCCCGTCAGGAAGTCCAGGATCCAGTTGCAGAGGGAGGTGTTTAGTCCCAGGGTCCTTAGCTTAGTGATGAGCTTTGTGGGCACTATGGTGTTGAACGCTGAGCTGTAGTCAATGAACAGCATTCTCACATAGGTGTTCCTTTTGTCCAGGTGGGAAAGGGCAGTGTGGAGTGCGATTGAGATTGCGTCATCTGTGAATCTGTTGGGGCGGTATGCAAATTGGAGTGGGTCTAGGGTATCTGGGATGATGCTGTTGATGTGAGCCATGACCAGCCTTTCAAAGCACTTCATGGCTACCGACGTGAGTGCTACAGGGCGGTAATCATTTAGGCAGGTTACCTTCTCTTCCTTGGCATCAGGGACTATGGTGGTCTGCTTGAAACATGTAGGTTTACAGACTCGGTCATGGAGAGTTTGAAAATGTCAGTGAAGACACTTGCCAGTTGGTCCGCGCATGCTTTGAGTACACGTCCTGGTAATCTGTCTGGCCCCGTGGCTTTGTGAATGTTGACCTGTTTAAAGGTCTTGCTCACATCGGCTATCGAGAGCGTTATCACACAGTCGTCCGGAACAGCTGGTGCTCTCATGCATGCTTCAGTGTTGCTTTACTCAAAGCGAGCATAAAAGGCATTTAGCTCATCTGGTAGGCTCGCGTCACTGGGCAGCTCGCGGCTGGGTTTCCCTTTGTAGTCCGTAATAGTTTTCAAGCCCTGCCACATCCGACGAGCGTCAGAGCTGGTGTAGTAGGATTCCATTTTAATCCTGTATTGACGCTTTGCCTGTTTGATGGTTCGTCGGAGGCCATAACGGGATTTGTTATAAGCGTCCAGATTAGTGTCCCGCTCCTTGAAAGCGGCAGCTCTAGCCTTTAGCTCAGTGAGGATGTTGCCTGTAATCCATGGCTTCTGGTTGGGATGTGTACGTACGGTCACTGTGGGGACGATGTCATCGATGCACTTATTGACAAAGCAAGTGACTGAGGTGGTGTACTCCTCAATGCCATCGGTTGAATCCAGGAACATATTCCAGTCTGTGCTAGCAAAACATTCCTGTAGCTTAGCATCCGCGTCACCAGACCACTTCTGTATTGAACAAGTCACTGGTGCTTACTGCTTTAGTTTTAGCTTCTAAGCAGGAATCAAAAGGGATTTGCCAAATGGAGGGCGAGGGAGAGCTTTGTACGCGTCTCTGTGTGTGGAGTAAAGGTGGTCTAGAGTTGTTTTCCCCTCTGGTTGCACATGTGACATGCTGGTAGAAATGAGGTAAGACGGATTTATGTTTGCCTGCATTAAAGTCCCTGGCCACTAGGAGCGCCGCTTCTGGATGAGCATTTTCTTGTTTGCTTATGGCCATATACAGCTCGTTGAGTGCGGTCTTAGTGCCAGCGTCGGTTTATGGTGGTAAATAGATGGCTACGATTAATATAGATGAGAACTCTCTTGGTAGATAGTGGGTCTACAGCTTATCATGAGGTACTCTACCTCAGGCAAGCAATACCTCGAGACTTCCTTAATATTAGACATTGCTAGCTACCAGCTGTTATCGACAAATAGACACACACCCCCGCCCCTCGTCTTACCAGACGTAGCTTCTCTGTCCTGCCAATGCATGGAAAACCCAGCCAGCTCTATATTATCCGTTTCGTCGTTCAGCCACGACTCGGTGAAACATAGTGTTTGTGTGTTTATCTTATAGTGTGTGTATGTGTGTTATAGTGTGTGTATGTGTGTGTGTGTCTTATAGTGTGTGTTTGTCTTATAGTGTGTTTGTGTGTGTGTGCGTGTCTTATAGTGTGTGTGTGTGTGTCTTATAGTGTGTGTGTGTGTGTTCAGTATGTATGGTGTGTATACCCTTTGTATAAACCATTTTAAGCTTGTGACTCCACCTGCACATCGTCGTTGTGTGTGTCCGTCTCTGTATCAGGTGTAGGTGTGGTGGTCTGGCCCCCCTCTCCATCGTACTCTCCCTCTGCCTCCTCTTCCTCCTCCTCGTCCTCCTCTATGGTGGGAGCTCCTCCGGCCCCAGATCCTCTCCTCCGTCCCGCTCCCTCCTTCTTCTTCTTCTTCTTGCTCTTCTTTGTCTTCCCTTCTGGGGGCAGTTTGGACAGCGGGTGGTGGATGTGATGAGAGGACTGGCGGTGGTCTGGAGACAGGAGAGAGGGAGACCGTGTTTGGTCGTTTCACTTCCATTGTTTGCATTGATTGATATGACTTGATGTCAAAAACGCAAAAGGAGGAAGTAAAGACAAACAGAACCTACAGTAGTGTGGTCATTTCTCCACAGGGTCAGGAGAATAACTGGAGTAAACATGTTTACCATAGAACAGATAGCTCCCTATCCAAGTCCTCCAGTATTTAACTGGCAGGGATATGCATATTAAGCGAACACCGATTTGCCGCACTTGTCTCTGTCTATACAGGCTATTTCCAAACACAATGGAATTACTTAACCCCTACACGGTCACCGCATTAAAACAGTGATTGGATAGAAATGAGAGGTAACTAGGCTAAATCAGCGGTGGGTGGGTGGGTGGGTGGGTGGGTGGTTTGCTCACACTCAAAGTCCTCCTCGTTATAGGCCCGGTGCTTCTCTGGGGGTCCACGGGCCGGCGGGTGGAGGATCTGCTGAAACCGCTGCACCCCCAGGGTCTTGTTCAGATCCAGCTCTTCATCCTCATCATCGTCAATCCGCCGCGGAGAGGGTGGCGGCGGGACCGGCTAGCGGCGGAGAGGGGTGGGGTGGGGTGGGGGTTGAGGGTAAAGGTGGTTAGAGGTCAGAGGTTAGGGATGATTTCATCTCACGGATTTACAATTACATTACATTACATCTAGAGCAACTTTTTGTTAGGACATTCAAGAAAAGGCATGCCAATAGCATAATTGCTAACAATAAATGAGCATCGTCATAAACAGCTCATGTGCTATGCTAGAGCAGGGGTATTCAAATTTACCCTACGAGGTCCGGAGCCTGCTGGTTTTCTGTTCTACCTGATAATTAATTGCACACACCTCGTGTCCCAGGTCTAAATCAGTCCCTGATTAGAGGGGAACAATGAAAAAAATTCAGTGGAACTGGCTTCGAGGTCCAGAGTTCAGTTTGAAGGCTATAGGATATGATTGGTGGACAGGGAAGCGCAAAGTGCACGGCATCATAGACACCACTAGGGGGAGACATAGCCTCTGGGACATGCCAGGTAACTGACTAGTTGAGAGGGCTTGATGCTTCTTCAAGTACTGTATTTCATTGCAATGCATACATTGTACCAGGGCCATTGACGTATCAAACTAACAGAAACCAACAAAGACATATCATCCATACATTCACTCCTAAATGTCCTATATATTGACACACATGTTGCCCTCTACTAAATTAATATATATCCAATATTTATTGTCATTCCTATTACACAGGATCGATATCAAACTAACAGATAAACAAATTAACACATTCATAGGCTGTTGTCAACCAAGCACTGTACTTCCAACCTGTAAACAATATCACATTCTTAACAGGTCAACCCCAACTGTCTACATCATCATCATGACGCTTAAGTATTTCCCATAAAACCCTTTTGGGAAAACGGTGATGACCAGCTACAAACCCGTCATTCTCATCTAGGAACAACACTGCAAATTAGCATCAACGTCAAGGGTTATGGTGCAATGCATCTCTGGCTGTTACGTATTCAATGTGTCAGTGTTTTAATTGTATCTGTCCTTATTCAAATAAACGATTGAAATGTTATGAAACGCCATGAAACTGAACCAGATCACCCGGAGCAGTAAACAGACTTATGCTCTGACAACGGGGCTGAGGGTGGCGGCTGCAGCCCCCCTGCTGCCTGTGGTATGTAATGGATAGGGATGGGACTTAGGGGGATGTTATCACAAGGATTCACTGGGGGCTCACGTGCTTTTGGTCCATCCAACAAGAGTTTGTTTTCAGAGGAGGCCCACCTCTGGGTAGCAGGGGAAATATTGCCCCGCGATGCCAGGGTCCGTATTCACAAAGTGTCTCAGAGTAGGAGTACTGATCCAGGATCAGTTTTGCCTGTTAGATCATAATGAATAATATAACATGGACATGGGGGGTGGGACCTGATCATGGATCAGCTACTTTGAAGCGCTTTATGAATACAGGCCCAGGGCTAGCCTCCTTCAGGTTAACACCAAACCCCCCACGGCTAAATAAACAGGAATGTCTCTGAGGTTTTGTCTCTTTGTGGTAAGGCTACGAGGTTAGATAAAAGGAAAGGAAAAGTCAAGGGGACGTTGGTTCGTTTTGGCTTGAGCTCAAGCCTTTGTTACGTAGGTTGGTGTCGTAACCCTGTCTCTTTTAGACATTTTATCTTTTAAAAAGACACAGGACAAAAAACTCAATCAAATAGGTCACAATCTATGCCAATAAGAGTTTGACTTACTCAAACATCTTCTCAATGTTTGAGTAAGTGAAACTCCTTGTAGCACAATCTATGGGGAGAAACAAATACCCCAAATGCAACGGTTAGTCATCGTAATATTGATGCTAACACAGCCACAGTCGCAAATGCAAAGGTATGGTACCACTGAGCTAATGCTAGGTATGGTACCACTGAGCTAATGCTAGGTATGGTACCACTGAGCTAATGCTAGGTATGGTACCACTGAGCTAATGCTAGGTATGGTACCACTGAGCTAATGCTAGCATAGCTACACACTGTATATCAGGCTTTGGCAGGTACTCAATGAGTGAAAGTAAAAGTTATTTCCTGTGATTCAGCAATGCCCACTCGGAGCAGTGAGGCAGATAAATCAACAGACTACATCCTCACACCAATACACTTTTCCACGTCACAAAGGATTAACCTCAGGTCCCCCATTAGGCAGCCATCTTGTTTCATGCCACAGCTCCTCAGGGAGGGGACAACAGTCACTTTTCCCATCTGCTCAGAGCTTGACATTTCCATTTGCAATATCATTTCAGATGCTTGCATCAGGGGAATCTTAAAACAGCTGAGTGATACTGCAGGTAAATTATGAAAAGGTCACGAAGGTGAACGGTCCAAATCATACAAGACTTAATTACTAGTGCTACTTATGTAAATAACTTAATATAGTAACAATATTTTGCATACAAAGTGAATACTACCGCACACACATAGAAAAAGTGTCTCAAGAATGATAAAAAAAACTGTAATCACAGTGCTTGAACACACAACATACACATGCACACACACACACACACACACACACACACACACACACACACACACACACACACACTTCAGTCTAACGTGCTTCATTTCATTACATCAGCAACACCTGACTCCAATAGAGGTCATATAACTCTTGCTTAAACAATCTATTCAATCTGTTGAATATGAGCTCACTGATTCATCTTTTCTTTTGTTTGATAATTTTTGCTGTCCTCTTGAAAGTCGCCCACCTCACCTACACCTTCTTTTTACATACAATATCTATGAGAAACACATTTGAACACCATTTGGGGTTCAATTTAAAGCCACAGTCTGTAAGTTGACTTTTTTAGTTTTATGGAGCAAATCCATCCCATGACATATGCAAATAGCACTTGATTTTTTATTTTCTGTAGTGTGAGACAGCTGTACTAATCTCAGTGGTACCGTTTTATTCTTAACCATGGGGGGTATATTTCATTAATTAAAATGACCTGAAATCTTAGACTGTGACTTTTAAAGGACAGATTAGCATAAAAACAATGATAGCGCGGACATGACTTTAAAGAAAGCCAGACTCCATTGTCACAAAGTTGAGAGCGATAACAACACTGAGGTATGGCTGTGTAGCCTGCACAGAAATGGAATTGCCTCCTGAGTCCTGCTGTTGAATTGCCTCTATTATAAATATTGCCTTATATTATAAATATATTATAAATATTCCATCCTTTATGGAAGGCAGACGCTGCTACTACGGTCACGTGATAACTTGATATATTTGATATCGCTGGTTGGCTGGCATCTACATCATTTGTTGTATATTGTAACCCTTAGCCAATCCCTAACCCATCCCTTATCTTTTTAATTTAAATTTAAATTTTTAGTGGGTAGATCAGCTTTAATATTGCAGATAGATTGTAACTTCCATCAATGTAATTGTCTGCATCACTTCCAATCCCCCATATGTTTTTTTTCTCTCGCAAATATATATATATATATATATATATATATACACACATACATACATACACATACATACATATATACACATACATATATATTTTTTAAAACCCATCCCTTATCTTAGTGGATATGTGCAGATACATGATGTACTGTACCTCTGAATCAAAACCACAGTCAACAGCTATTTTGCTCACTAAGATTTTGAAAATCAAGACTGTGTTGCTGTTCATTTTCCCACCAAAGGAAATTTGGTTTGACCCGTTGACTCGTGGTGTTGGGAAACCACGTGGGTAAGAGTCTGCTGTGGTGTTATGTAACTGCGTCTGAACTTTTCGTGGCCTTTTCTCCCCCGTCCCCCCACCACCCCCGCGGTGGTGGGATCCAATCCATGATGTTATTTCAATTCCCGGTTATCATTTTTGTAACACAATGTTAACCACATAAATACATACTAAAACCCTTTTTGTTTGAGAAGGGTTGTGGTAATCTTCACGCCCAACTTTCCTGATGCACTTATTGATCTTTCTCTTTCCTGATACACTTATTGATCTTTCTCTTTACTGTGATGTTCACAGTGATTGAGCGACATTAGCTGGGTCGTGATTGAGATTAATGCGCTGTGAAGATCTTTAAGGTTGCTGTAAACAAGCTTTCAGTTTTGCCCATTTACAGTATGATATTCAGTTTCCATTTGGAGGGGAGAACTTGCATCTCCCTAAACTACAGTCCTTAGTGATTAGACCACTGTGAATGAGCTTTAAAGGTTGGAAACAACATCTTTCACTGGAAACGGCAAATCAATGTTTTATAAAAAAACAATTATCAAAAAGTGAAGGAATTTGGCATCACACTACTGGCTCAGTACTTGTGTTATGATGAAATAATTGAATAGAATGAAATCAAAACTGTGTTGAACATAAAATATTAAAATCTTCAAGGTGATTTTCTTGTCGAATCTTTATTTTCCACTCCACATATGCATGGCATTGATGGTGTGCCAAGTCCATTCAATCATTTGTAGAAATTACTTATTAAGCTGTTTCAGTTAAATCATTTAATGAAAGAACACTGTTATTGTTGCCTCTGTCAATGTTGTTCACCCTGATGGCTACATCCATAGGATCATTAAGTTAGCCAGCTAACTTTGATAAACAGCCACATCCCACTGGGCACAGACGTCAGTTCAACGTCTTTTCCACGTTGGTTCCACGTCATTTCATTGAAATGACGTGGAAACAACGTTGATTAAACCAGTGTCCTGTGGGCTATAACTCTTGATTTTCTGGTTGATTAAGAAAGCGACATTTGTATATTGGTTGTCGAGTCAATTATACCTTGTACATTTTTTGTCTATATTTCAAAAAAAATATTAAGTTATTAGCAATTTTGAACAGTTAGCCGGTAACTCATTGATCCAGCTGTCTGGGACAGCCCCCAGGGCACTCACCTTGATTTCAAGCAGGAAGTCCATCAGCTATCTGTCACAGTCACGTAGCGAAAGGACGCTAGCTGCTCATGACGAGCATTAAAACAAAAAAAGCTATCTAAAATAGCAGGGGAGAGCTACGTTTTGGGCCAGTT